CAAAGAATGCAGGAAAAACAGCAGCTCAATTACAAAACAGCCATCTGTTCTACACACTTAAGACACAGCAGGATGGGCTGGTACCAGGTTTCATAGATCAGGAGCAGAGAATTTTATTTTAGAATACATATTAAATTTGTGTTTTAACTATTTACTTAGGTACCTGAAAATGCACACAGATGTATTCAAAAGCATTTATTTTTTTATTCAAAACATGTGAAATTGCTTGCCTAAATCCTCTTAGAAATCTTATCTTTTTGGCACTGAAACATCTCCAAGCACTGGTTTTCAGCACTCCAGGAAGTCTAGTTGCAAAGAAAGATAAACAGCCTTTATTTTAAGGAAGACTGGGAAAAATGCTAGTGGGTTAGCAGAGGATCAAGCTAAGATGATGATCACCACTGGGCTAAACATGTTGAGGAAGTCCCTTGCTCTCTGATAATGAGGAGAAAAAAATGTGACCAACTAAAGATCAGCTAGTTGTCCAGTTCAGCTACTACTAAAGACAAATGCCTACATTCAAGATTAAGCAGTTAAAATTACTGAACATGAAGTACAGGATAAATGCCTTGTGTTTGTATTTTGGGTTTTGTGATGTACACGTTAATCAGATTTGATACCAATGACATTAATCATCTTGTCCTCCCCCAAGAACTGTACCTGCTGCAATTTCACAGTTATTTACAACATTGTTTCTTGCTGTTTCTCCCTTCTGCAATGTCATAGTCCTGCAATACACTATTGCAAAAGGGGAGACATTTGTTTTGTCTATTCCACAGTACTGAACTGCTCTGTACACAAGTCCCAGTGCAGGATCTGAATTTACATGAGCCAAAATTCCAACTTGTAGAACTGGAAGTTAGACACAGAGAAATCAGTTACTTCCCAAAGCACCAAAGACTCTTTCTATCTTTTACTCTGGTGCTCACTGGAAACAAAAGCACTGAAAACAAAATTGTCACCTCACAAAGTCCATCCACACCACCAAAATTGTAATTCACCATCTTATTTTGCATCCGTTGTTCAGTGCTTATCGATAGCACCACTGACATATCAGTTACTCCACTACCACAGTTTTTAAAGACAAATTTTGGGTATCTCTCTATTTCCTTAGGAAATTCAGTGCTACGTTCAGGATTCGCCAAGACACGATGAAGTCTTACCATGTCCCAGGCAACACAGGAATGACTGAGAAGTCCTTGGGCATGCGTAACGACCAAAGGGTTGAAAACTTCTGCATAGCATAAATCAAGATTGGGCTTCAGCAGAAGAGAACCAAAATAACATCAAGTGCAAAATGATACAAATCTGTAATATTTCCAGCTAGTGGAAAGGCAGGCGAAATAGTGTGACACATCAGTGTCTGCAGGCATGCTGATTCTTTAGAAAGATGGCAGGAATAAGCAACAAGACAGCTGACGGCAACATTACAGAACGCCTTACACGATCTCATGAGACTTTTATAAACATGAAAAGAAACAATTCAATTTTTTATTTTCCTTTGTGAAGTTCTGACTTAATTATATGTTACTAGTTCCACATCTGCTCCACATAGCTTAAGATATCACTGCTGGACCAAGCTTTGTACAAGTATACATTGCCACATGAATGCTTACTGATACCTCAGAGCTCCTTACAGAGCTTGTTCTGAAGCTGACATTTACTACTTAAGGTTGGACTTTCCTTTCCTTACACAGAAAGAATGACAGACTCTTGTAGTTGAAGAATAGAAGTAAAATACTGTTCCTGATTTAAATGCATAATGAAATTTGCATCCAATTTCCATGCTTACAAAAACAAAATAATGTGTTTCTCTCTGCACACAAACAGCTTTGCTCCTCTAGTGATGCAGAGGGCTGTTTCAGCCAGGCTGAGAATCGCAGGTAATACTTAAACTTTGTCAGAGGTGTCTTGATGGCAGAGTGCAAACCACCAGACTCCAAGCCTCCAGATGTGTTATTTGATCAACATTTTGATCATGTCTGACAAAAGGAATCATCCAGGTGCATCACCTGACAGGTGAAGAAAGGAGAGAAGTCCACAACAAGAAAGGGAAGATGGGCAGCATCTCCTTCAGAAGGAGAGAGTTTTACAGTACAGAACAGAGTATCAGTGTGCTTCCTAGAGAGAGCTGAAGAAAATACTTTAATGAAGCAAATACTGGACATCATAAAAACAAAACAGTTTGTTTTCCTGTGTTTTACATAAGCGCCTATTATTTTCTCTTCTGCCTGAGAGAAGGGAAGCTTGGAGTGAGAATATGTTGCAGGTTTGACAAAATGCTATGCAGCAAAATAATAAATAAATATAAGTAGCCAGAGTCTGTGTGATAAGAGACCTGTGAAGAAATTGGGAGTTTTTGTGGTGGGGATTTAATTATTCCAGTATCGACAAGAATGAGAATTAAGGGAGGAATCAACAGGCTGACTTCCACAGGCAGTAAAAAACAGGTTTATCTTTCACTGTTTATTGAGCACTTAGATATAATAAATTCAATAATGGTCTGGTGGGTATTACTGCTTTATGACAATATATCACAGGGCTGAAAGTAATCATGGTCTTACGCTATAAAGGTAACAAATAAAACTTCAGACAGCATCAGGTTGTTAAGCTCAAATATTCCCAGAAAGGCAGTGGGAAAGGAAGGGGGAAAACAAGGAAGAAGAAGTGATATTTAAAGCAAGCAGAGTAAATAATGTAATCATGTTGATCTTAGTAATAGCAAACAGTTAAAAGTAATAGTAGAAGTTACTGGAGTAAAGCACCAACATATCAAATGAAGACAGAAAGCAATTACAAAAGGTATAATAAAAAACTGAAAGGACAAGCTAGCTGATGTAAGAAGCTCACAAAAGCTCTGTAAAACATTCAAGGGGAAAAAGTTGCACTTGCTAATAATAATCCACAAGGGCTCAGGCAATGCTAATTAGCGTAGAGCTGCTCTTCATGTGTACAAGGACATACAGCATGTTCCAGGTTTAAACAACGGAACGATAGAGATTAAACTCATTGGTGTTCTTTTAAAAGTTAAAAAAAAATAAAAATAATAAAATCACAGAATTCTGGCATCCAGAATTCACCCCAGAAACAGATTTAGTGGACTTCTGGAGATTTTTTCTAAAGCCACCAATCTATCTGTAAGGAAAACATGACTCACTACACGTAAACGCACCCAGCTCTCAGCAGGATTTGAGCCCACTCTTCTGTGCACAACTCAGCAAATCTGACCACCTTTGGGCTCTGTCTACCATACCTGTTTTATTGCCTCCACCTTTCCAACAAGCTCAGTTTAAATTACTTTCGGACTAGGAAAAAAAACAAAAATACAGACACCATGCAAAGATGGGAATACAGATCAGGAGGCAAAATCATCTTAGAATTCAATTCCACGTTCAGCCCCAGATCTCCAAGAGTGCTTACATTCCTCCTGGAGTCACTTACATTTCTAGTACGATTTTCAAAAGCACCTCACCTTCAGCATCCTCAGTGCCTGCTGTGTGTTTTCTTAAGCACAGGGCTGAAAAGAGTGATCCCTACTTATTACGACAGCTGTTTCTATCTAAAGAACAATATTCACATGGAAGCAATCAAGTTGTGCTCTGAGCTAACGGGCAGGATGGGGGATGCTTGAAGGTCCACAGCGTTGCCTTCCTATTTTCATAGTATAGACACATATGCTGATAGAAATCAAAATATCTAAGGGCCATGGTGTTAAACTGCTAAACCACAGGTTCACCCATTGGAACCAGCTGTCAGCCTCTATTGACCTCATTTTCTTTCTTTAGTAAGTTAGAGAAGTTTGCAAGGATCAAACCTACCTGCTGCGTAGAAAGCAATCTGGGAAGAGGTGGGGAGCTCCCAAAGCACACTGATGCACAAAGCAGCAACACAGATTTCAGAGATTTCCTTCCGGAATCCCACCCTCTGCAGGATGAGGAGCACTGAGCTGCTCAGCATATCATGTCACGCTAAGTTCTGTTCCAAAGAGACATACAGGCTCTCAGTCTCACTGAGCATTGTCAATTTGCTCCAATGTGTCCTTAATGAAGAAAAGTAAATGTTTAGCCCCAAGAAACTGTCCACTGACAAAGGTGTTTATTAAGTAGAGCCACTCAACACATAGTGAAACTTTTAAAGTAAATGCACCAAGAAGAAATCTGTGCTTCCCTACCCTTGCTGAAATGGGTCATTTCCTCATTTTTTTGTATTCATTCTCCTATTCATTTGTTTTTTTAATGGTTGCACCTTCACTTAACAACACTGTTACTTATGCAGCAAAAATATTTGTTCTCAAAATCTGACATCATCTGACAGGCATAAAGAAAATAATGCTTTAGAAATTAAGCTCAGAAACTGTAAAAAATTTGCACCAATAGTCCATTTCGTTCTTAAGAAACAGCGTTCTGTGCATCACTGATAAGTCAGCCAATAACATTTGTTGATTTCAAAACAAAAACAGGTAACACGAGATATCACCTTTATCCAGAAGGCCTTACTCTCATTTCCAAAAGAATCAGGCATTTGTCCACATTCAGCACACCATGCAAATGAATTCACCATTCTTTTACTACTGGGCCTCCAGAAAAGTATGCAAACCCAGTGCCTCAAGTGTTTCCTTCTAGGAGTCAACATTGAAATGCTAGTCCCATTTTACACATAGGCTCTGTATTAATATAAATACCCCAACACTCACCTGAGAAGAGTTTAGCAGGCAGTCCTCAACTCAAGCTGCCCTTGACCTTTCTGGCCAATGTGGAAGATGGGCATATACAGTTTTTTCTGGCTAGACCAGTATCAGGATAAAATTAATAGGAATCCTGTCTCATAAAGAAGTCTGACAAAAACCCATTTTCTGTATTCAACACTCAGACACATTTTGTTTCCTCCAACTCACTACTGCTGTCAGAGGCTGTAAGAACTATTTACCCAATCTTATCCTGAGATCCTTAACTAGCAAGGGGAAAATGGATGTCACAAACCAAATAACTTCTGTCAACAAATTAGCAAGCATCAGTGCCTTTTTATTAACAGCATTTCCAATGTTTAATGTCAATCAAGTCCCACAGCAGTTCAGAGGTCTGAATATCTGGTAGTCCTTTAAGTCACATTAAATGATCATTCATTCCTCACAACTCCCCCAGGCAGCAATTCCCTTCAACACTCACCAACCTAAAATATAGATATAAAAATTGTACATTTTTAATACAAGGCCTCCAATACTATGGTTTTTTTTCCCTACATATTTCATCACAGCAAACCACAAAATTTGAGGTCATGAAGCTGAGAGCATGACAGTTTGTTAAAGCTTCATCTCAAGCTTTATACACACATGCTTTTTTTTAATATTCTTCATTTTTATTACGATCTTGGTAAAGTTTCCCTCAGGCAGATTATGCTGTATAAATGCCAGTTCAAGTAGAAAAATTAGTAAACGAAGTTTTAATATTTAGGACCAAACTAAAACAATTTCTGTATCCAGATTTCTAAAGTAGCATTTGTAAGCTTCAATATTTAAACATAAAGGGACTTCATTTCAAGTACTATAAAAGAGAAACATTGCCACTCACTGGCAGTGCCAATGTCTTTGCAGTATTTGTAGGCATTTATGTTCATCTTTCAAAAGCTCTATTAACCTTTATACAATTTGTCAATAAAAAGCCCCATTAACATTTAAACTGTGTATGTCTAACTGTCTGCTTCAAACAAGAATCAAAAGATGGCCTATAAGAAGCAGGCTGTTATTTATTTCAGTCTACATTACTGGGACTGTGCATGTTGAAGGTTTCCAAAAGCTAACACTCCTTAAAATAATTGGGGAAAAAAAGAAAATAATCCATCAGCAACTGGCAAATATGTTACACACTGCCTGAGCACGGGATGAGACAGACGCACAGACAAGTATCGCAACACGATCCATCTTTGGAAAGAGCAGCACAACTAGCTAACCAGCTGTAGCCACTTCAGGAATGCTGGAGGTCTAAAGAGATCACACTGTACATGAACTTGAAATTTAAACACTGCTTTTGCACTAGGATCAGCAGAACTTACCTGATATTATAAACCAATCTTAAGTGACATTAACGATTTGTCTTCATTGGGCAAATGTTATCTTTGATTAAAATCAAGTATTTACTGGATAAGAACTGAAATCACAGCTGTGTAGATAACAGAGTCTTCAATCAAGCTGCTGAATTGGAAGTGCCAAGGACATTATTCACCAGTTCATGCATGTCTCCTAAAACTGTTGCTTCAAGTAGCACTGATTTAGCAAAATCTCTCTGTGCTGCTTCTCTGGAGTGAAGTGGGTATTTTGAAAGGCAAGGAAAAACATTGTCAAAATATGGAGACAAGCGAAATCGGCAGTTTATTACCACTGCTTTTACAAACCATTAATGAAACAACACGACCCATTCCACTGAAGAGAAAAAGAATTCATGAACTGTCTTTAAGTATGGGAGATGTACTCGCTGTAACAACAGATGCTTCATTAACTTTATAATAAGTAAACCTGTAAACTTCATAAAAAGTTTACAACCAAAGTGGAGCTAGTGTGACAAATCACGCTCAGATAGCAATGACAAAAATGTGAAGATCACACACGTTTATCAAAAATGCATTTTAGTTTTGCTTCCCCAGAATTCAGTTTGATGGAGTGTCACTTTATGCAATCACCCCTTTCACCTCACGTCCGTCTTGTCTTCTGTTTTTTTGTCTGTCTCTTTGCATCCTCTGGGCCACCTGTGTCAGAACCTGCCTGTCCAAGAGCGCGGACCCCTTGCAGTCGAGTCGTCAGCTGCAGCAATAAAGGAATAAGCTGGGCCAACAAAAAGAGGAAATAGTCTGTGATTATGATGGCTTGTAAGGTCTGCACAGTAGTGTTCTTCAGAATGATAGACTCCCAAACAAATAGAATCCATTGCATAAACAGAACATCTACAACATCTAAAAAGATGTCAGAAAATGGCAGCAATTCTTTGGAAAGAAAATAAGCTGAACTTACTGAATCTTCTGATAATCAAAACCAAAAATCATCCCTAGCTTTTTTTCTTGCAGTCATTTATCTACAATTAGGATTTGAATTCTGAGTCTGGACAGTCCACTGATTTGCAAGGCATTTTCAATGCCACTGAACAATCCTGGAGAAACTCATGTTCTGTGCAGTATACTCAAGTTTGAAAAGAAATCGCATTGCACAGTTTTTCTTCCCCTCTTATCATCAAAACAATTCAGGCCTATCAGATAAAGCTTAAAAGAACACAGTTTGTCAACAAATAAAGAAGGGTAACATGGTAGTTCCTTATATTCCTCCTGAGAGTTTTATACTGAAGGCATAAAGCCAAAGAGATCAGGCTCAATGACTTGCAGGAGTTTTTTTTACTCTGACTATTCCTGAAGTCAATAAAATTTATTTTGTTCCTGTTATATACCTGGATAGAACAAAACACATGCCCTACCTTATCGTGGTTGTAGCCAGCCAACAACAGAAGCAGCGTCAGTGGCAATGCAATGTAAGATCCTTGGGCAATATCTTGCTCAGGTAGCTTTCTCTGAAAATAGTGTATATAATGCATTTTATTATTTTTTAACAATTATTCTGACAGGGAATTCTCTCAACTTTAACTAATTGTAGCAAAAGAACCATGTAGAACATCCAGTCCTTCCCATCTGGTTTCTTTTCAAGCACCTAAAATTTATTCAACTTTTAATTTTCAATCAGATCAGACCCATTCATCTGCTAATTTCTTCTTGGGGTTTGTTGTTGTTTTTTAAAGCTAATTCACCAATGGTCAGTCTCCACTTTACAGTCAACCTGTTGTGCATTTTGCCTATATCACAAGCTGACTAAAACTCTCTGACCCCATTGATAATACCACAGCAGCCAAACTAGCACAACATCTTTCAGGCATATTTGTGTCCTTCATTATTAACTGCTGTTTCACCTCATGTTTCACTGAACATGCAGTGATGCAGAAAAGAAATAGATCATTTAAATATTACAGGACAAACACTTCCCTACACTGACTGCACTATTCAGCTCCAAAGGTGCAAAAAGACATCTCTCTCTCTTACAGGAGAGGAGATTTCTCCTGACATTAGTCTGAGAATCCACCTGCTTTGGGCTCCAAGAACTGAAAACTTTCATTTGGGCTTGCTGACACTTTTTTCCTCTATAAAAGTTTTTAAAGGGAATCCCAGCCACAATTTTATCTTCAGCCCCCAGTTACTGCATCCTTTCAGTTATTGTCAAGGCTACAACTCCATTCTGAACTCCCTATTTGCCTCCCATAATATAACAGGTCATTACATCACTGTTTGATGCCTTCAACATGGCCAAAACCAAATTACCAAGTTTACTGCCACATTAATGTCTCTCATAAAGCTCTTTATATTTACGTTAATAGAAAGTTAGGCCAAGATCACAAGGTATATGCAGGCTACACTGCCCAGACATTGCTCTCAAGCTCAACATCTGAAATGAACATTTACCTATTTTGTACTTACAGTGGGACTGAAGACCAATGTAATGTGCTTGTGATATCCAATGGAAGTGAAGGAAACTTGAGGCAGGATGTAGTCATACTGTGACTTAGACAATGTAGAATCCAGGAGCACCACGTAATTCTGTGGGTATAAAATAAACTCTAGGCTACAGCACCAGTAGCAGTCTGATGCAAAATTAGATTCAAAGGCAAAAGTCAGTTTAATAGACTTCACATGCTCTGAGACACAAGTCACCATCAGCATGAATACAGTACTGCAGGCAAACCAGAAATAATACTTCAGTGTGCTTAGGGGAAAAATAATAAAGCTAATTAAGGCAATTATTCAGAAATATTCTTACCTCTCCATCTCGGAGCAGTGGAGGGAAGTGGAAGAAAAGGGATTGGCCTAAGTTGACCGTATGAATTGGGTTGTCAAGATTTTCACTTTTATAGAGCTTCACCTGTGAGGGAAAGAAGAGATCACAAGAGGTATTTCTGAGTCTGCACTAGAACAGCCCATACAACTATATGATAAAAATACTTCAAAATTCATCACGGGCTGTATAAATAGAAAGATGTCAAGCATGAACATCTGGGTTTGTCCTAAGATGCTATGTGAAAAATCACAGAAAGAGAATTTGAAAATACAATTAAAATACCATTAGGGAAGAATGATATTTTCCCATATCTAGATGTATTAGACATAGTCTGTGCTGTGCAATAAAGAGAATATAGTTATTCTTTTAAATAATCCCAACAGTTTCACAGGAATTTGGAGCTGGAGTTTGTTTCTAATTTCTCTGATAAGCTCATTTTGTTCAGTTTCAATTTCTCTGTCCTTACTTCACAAATCAGACATCCCAAGGTACAAAGTAGGCCTGAAATACTGAGAAAACACAGTCTGCTCAGAAATGAGCGCAATTAAAAGAGGACTGCATCATACTCAGATAAGACTACAGAATGCTTTCCAGTGACCCTGCAAAAAAACACTGGGAAATCAATGGCAAATGCAGTTGAGAGAGATCACAGGCTTTAACTTACACATAACGTGGACAAATACTCAGAAGACGTAATCACATTTCCACTTAAATCAAACTGATTGATTTGCCGGAACGCAATAATATTAACATCATCAATGTCGCTGTTCCCAACCTGCAACATACAACACAGTCATGTTTTTGCAGACAAAGAAAGAACTAAAGCAGGTTTCTTTCAAATGCTTTTCTGTCCTTAAAAAAAAGGCAAGCCAGTTTCTATTAGTACAATCTACTGCCTACAGCTCTCACTTGCAGTACATAATTTTCACTTGATTTTCTGAAACTTGTGTTGCCATTCACTTCCCTTTCCAACCAGCAACCACTCTCAGCAAGAGATGGTAAGGACATGAAAGAATTCTGCCTGTTTTGCTGCAAAGGAGAGCATCTTGGTCAGGCATGAGTCTGAGTTCAAATAATGACCATCTTCCACTGAAAAGCTCTAGGCAACCAACTAATTAACTAAGGTTAATTAACCTCTGCCAGGTGTCAAGAGATAGGTGAGTAGTTTGAGTCTGTAAGGATGGAGGACTATTTAACAAGATCTCATCAGTCCTAAATTCAAAGTTATTGTTACATTTTACACAGATTTCCTAGTCTGGATGACAACTTCATCTGCATCGAGACTGCAAGATTTGGACCAAAGAAACCACAGTAAGTGGTATTTATTGATCCATAATTGAATATGAAGAGAAATAATACAACAATTTATCACAATTTCAAATCATCATTTCTCTGTCCCACATCATAAAAGAACACTGAAAAGTAAGCTGCATATTTATTCTCTTATTTTTAACGCATAGCTTTTGTGCTGCAAAAGAATCCTTTTCACTTGTTTACTGGTTGGGCCATATTGCAATTCTAAGCTATGGTGCTGACAAAATAGGAGCTAACTTGCTGAAAGCCACTTGACTAAACAGAATGCATTCAAATACACTGCTGTCAATTTAATGCCTACACAGATGCATTTCAAATGTAATTGATATCACAAAATTTAAAAAAAAAAAAAAAAAAATTACCTCAATTATCCGGTGCTGTGGTAAAGCTCTTTCAATATGATCATTGCCTTCAGCTTTGAGTTGTACGTGATACACACAGCCTGGCTACAAGCAACATTCAGATGATAAGTCTTAACACTAAATAGCATGTACTTTAATTTTAGAAGACAGTAGTGAATTTTCCAACATTCCACAAGTTTTCTTATCCTAAATAGATAATTTAACTCACTAACTCCTTTAAGTGCGTTCATTTCCAGAAATTCAGTTGCTGCTTTTCCCACAGAACAGCTCACTTCACACATATGCTATACAGCCAACAAGATACACACACCCAATAGACTTCTAAGATACACTTGCTGCAGAATTTTCACATGAGAAGCTAAAGAGATGAGATTTCACTGCTACAGCACCTGTAGCACTGGTGAGACACATTCATGTGTCACACAATGGGAGCTGTTCAGTTCTTGTGAAGGCAGACAGAAAGTTGCCCAGATTTGCACTATAAAAATGTTCCCCCTCTACAAGAAGGAATCATCACTCACAGCCTGTCCTAACAGAAAGAGTCTCAAGGATCTTTGTGTGATGGAAAGAGAAAAATCTGTAGCTAATTCATAAAACACATTGTATTGTTCCATTAACACACTAACACAAACTTAAATGAGAGAAAGCTTCTGATCCTTACCAGGAGGCCACGCAGTCGGAACTTGCCCTCTTCATCAGTTACTGTATCTTCTCCATAGATGCTACACCCTTCCTGCCCCACAGCTTCTACCGAGACTCCTTGCTCAGGCTCTCCATTTAATGAAGAAACTGTGCCATAACAGCTAGAGGGAGAAACAATCGCTAATGATGTGCAAATGCTGTTGTAATGTGTATTTTTAAGACATGATTGTTATAACTCATGAGAAAAGTACTTCATATATTTAGCATAGCATGCAAAAGCAGAATTTGTAACGTATACACCTAGAACTGTTTCAAAGCATTTAAATTAGCTGCAGTTCAGAGGACAGCTTAAGGAATCCAAGTTCCCAACCCTTCAAGAAAAGTAAGACTTACCCCAGAGAGCAGGGAAAGGGAGGACCCTTAAGTCAGATACCCAGAGTGCTACACAGTCCCCAGAATAAATCTCTCCTCTCCCACTGAACACAGCATAAGCCACTCGCAGTGCCACTGACACGGTACCTTCTGTGCAATGTTTTTCCCTACAGTTGTGTCGTGGGCTTAGCTAGTATATCCACATGCATGAAAAAAAGGCTACAAACAGTACCCTCAAGCAGCACAGTATTTAAATTGTGCCTTCAAAAGTACCTCCAAGCCTTCAGAGCAAACATTTATCAGAAGAAAACCCGTATTTTGCATAATGCATCCTGATACAGTACATAGCATTTTGCACAGTTTATCATCTCCACTAACCTGTAAGCTGTTCTGTAACCAGTTATACGAATTTTAAGATTTTGTCCTTCCTGCACTTCAATCATTTGCGATGATGGTTCAAAGCGAAATTCTTTCATCATGGGTTTAAAATAATACTGCCCTGGACTCTGCAAAGATGCATAAAACAAGCTGTTGTGTCACTATCAATAAACAATTCACCAGCTCCAAACAAATATTTTTCTCTTAGAGCTCCCTAAAGACCTATGCTTCGCTGTTCTAGCTATAGTTTAAAGTGTCCGGAAAACATAAACAGGGAACACATCAGACAGTGACCTGGTGGAGCTCTACCAGAAAATAAAGACTGAAAAGGGAAAGAACTATGACTCTAATACTTCATCACAACTGCAAGGAGAGGAAAGTGACCAGGAGAGAAGGAAGTTTGGAAGGGAACTATTCAGTCATGTCTATACCAATGTACATATCAATAATCTTATTAAATTTGTTTCCTCTAAAGACTAAAATGAACCAAGCCTGTTTGCTGGTGATCATGTTTATAGACTACGAGTTTCTAAATGAGATCAATCAACATCATCTATTGCAAGTTGGGGACAAAACTTCCTCCAGCTTATATTTCACATCTTCCACTAGCTAACATTTTAAGTGCTAGTAGAACCTACACCTCCCAGTATGAGTTATGATTTCATATATCTTCCTGTCACTGAGGAGCACTGATTACATCTCTCTTTTGGAGGGCAAAGTTACACAGCACTACACACACAATCACTTTCAGAACAATCGATTTTAACTTACCAGATTGGAAAAGGTCAGCATGCCATTATCCTGCGTAAGGAGGTTGGATCGGAACACCCCTCCACTGAGAGACAGGAGTACTCCAGCAAGAGCCTGGTCATCCTCAGATTTAATCTGTTTTAACAAAAGCCATAGCTATAATTGTAAGAGAACATTCTCTCATGAAAAGATGCTCAACTCAGAAGCCTCTAAGAGTATGCTAGCCACCTCTGCATTGTCATGCTGCAGGGCTACAGAACCTTCTGCTCTCAGGATCTGAATAGACACAGGCACATGTACCAAACACACCAGAACAGCCACTCTCCAATTCACAGGACATGGTAGGGACCAGAACAAAGTATCCCAAGACTAAAGCCAGGTTCCAGCTGGACCAGGTTGTACAAGAAAAAATCCCCTTCAGATGCAAGAGAAGGTTGTCAAGTTCTGCAAAAGCAAATAAATCCAGTCTTTTGGATTACAAGCTCTTATTTTTACTCCATAAAAAAACGTGCAGCAAGTCACAACTAAATCCCTGAGATTTGTTTCCATTATGATAAAGTTACCTGGTTCCCATATCCCATACTTGTTTGTGTTTCCCTGGGACACGTGGGTTAACATTTTTGCCTGTCTAGCTTTAACAAAACACCATTCAGAAACTTAAGCACTTAGACGTGCTTACCTCAAATGTCACACCAGCAAGAGCAAAAGCTTTGAAGTCACCAACTGTTCCTTCTACTGCAGTCAAAACAAATCCTTCTTTCTGGGCAGTAACTGTATATTCCAAGTCACTGTGGAGAGGCCCAACACTTCAAAATATAAGGAAAGAAACATTCACTTCAGAAGAAGCATTTGAATATCACACAGGTGTGTTGTCAAGTCACTATGGCACTTAAACGAAAGAATCCAAAACATCAAAACAGATCTGCTAATTACCTGTAAGCACCTTTGTCATCAGTGAAAACCGTGATGAGAGGAGAAGGCGCTCCCTTTTCACCAATGACAATCTCAACACCTTCCAATTCAGGATGAATCCGCCCTTCCATAAATAAGCCTGCTTTCCCATGAATCTCTATCAGCTTTCCAGGACAGCTCTCTTGGTCGTTGCAAAGGGGATTCAAAACAAACAAGTCAAGAATACACTCAATATTACATCTTACAGCAAGAGTTTTACTACTTCTAAAGAAACAGTGGAAGTTCTTTTGCCTTGGAGTCAGAGATCAACCTACACAATATATGGCTCCTTGTCACACCTTAAAACATCCAAACATTCACCAAATTCACAAACTGAGTTCCAAAGCTGTAAGCACGTGGTTAGCATAAAAAATCTGGATTTGCTAAGTGCTTCATAGGTTCGTAACGTACCATGCACTGCAGCCACGTGGAAAGCATTCCAACAGCAACAACATTTTCTGACATCAAACAGAAGTCAACGTATGCCATGTTTAGTGACAGGTAAATTTTTTTTTTTTTTTAACATTAAGTACTTAGACTGTGCACAACAAAGAAGCACATAAAAGTTACCACATGTTTCCCAGACACTTCAAATACAGGATGTTCATTTAGGAATCCTAGGGCAAGATGGACACTGATACAACAGGCAGCATAACTGACTGCTGGCAGCCCTCACAATTTTAGAAGTGTGAGGGTTTTTGTTTGTTTGTTTGTTATGGGTTTGTTGTTGTTGTTTGCTTGTTTCTAGCTACTTTTATTGGTCTAATGTAATACAAAGGAAAAACTGCCAGGAACTTCAACTGATTATCATACTCAAAACACACCTAGCACCTGCACAGCTATTTTTCTCAATAAGTGTAATACAAGTAACTAAGAATCTGCTGTAATATCCAGAAATTGTATTTATATTTACCTCCACTAACAACTGTTTCCACATAAGGTGGGTAGAAAAGAAGCTCTTTTGAAGATGGTGTCACGGTGATTTTCTCTCCAGACCTCGAAAAACAAGACAGCATTAGAAGAAAATGAAATCAGTGTCTCTCACATAGGACAAAGCACTGCGTATTGACCTCAGAACACTTCTAAATACACTAAGGGGAAAACACCATCAATAATATAAGCAACATTCTTACAGTGTGCTATTAGTTTTCATTTTGCTAACAGTCAGCCAGAACAGATACCCACAGCTCTTTCCTATGTGGAATAGATCAGTATTTTGTTTGTTGGAAAACCGAGACAGCAGTCCAAACAAAACATCCTTCCCATCAGAGCATGGTAGTACCTTGCCCAGTATGAAAATTCATATAAAAATGGTCCTTGAAGTTCCTCCACCATCTCCTGCACTGGTGGCTTTGTTCCCTCCTCTTCTTGGCCCTTCTTTTCTCTCTCCTGTCGGCGGGTCTCAATTTCTGCCAGCTGCTGCTCCCTTCGTAATTCCTGCACAGATTTCAATGGCCCTAAAACTAAGGCAGGTTCACTGTCAATAGATGACCTGAAAACATAGCAAAGATAACAAAATAAGCTCATTTAATACAAAGGAAAAGATACTGTTTTATATGTTAATTAGAGTCTTTACAACACAGCAGACATATCCCAGATATTTTTTTAAAGGTATTCCTTTCAATCTTGCTCTTTATTCCAAGCATAAATAAAACTTTCATACTCCTAACAATCAGTTACTGCTTGACCATAGGGGCTGCTGGTAACATAGCAGGTCCAGTTGGAAAGGACCTATTTGTAACACATTATATTCACATATTCTGCCACATCATCCTATAACCATTCAAGAAGTTATAGCCCTGCTGTCTCCTCCTTCCCTGCCACATCTAAGCACCCAAATGCGTAGCCAGCATAAAATAACTAAATAACATGCAGCTACAACTCAATCATTTTGCAGAATCCAGCACCCTAACTTAAGTTTCACTTAGTTTCCATAATAGAATCTCAGTTTTGCAACAAGGAACATAGTCCAGCTCTGCTGCAGTGGCAATGACCTCCCACAGAAGCAGTGACAAGTCAGAACGAGCAGCAAATTCTTAAGCCAAAGGAACAGTTTGCAAGAGTGCCTTTAACAAAGCCATCATGAGAGGCTGGAATTTCAAAACTGAGAACAGGATAAAGGCAGAAAAGAGTTATACAAAATCAACAAGAAGACTGGCATCTCTATTTTTCATTACCAGGAACCTTCCCTCAGAACATAACTCTTAGATACAGAGTACACAAGAAGAAAAAAACTTCTGTCACAAGCAAATACTTCCAGTATTTGGCAATTCCCAAAAAAAGTGCTGAGTTCCAACCTATCTGCCCTACACCTTCCAACCATCCAGCTGTCTTACCACTGCCTACCAAACAGATGGCTAGATAAGCTCATCTCATCCCCATTCTTTAAACCAACTCAGAACAACGGATATTGTTACATTGTCTTTCCCAGCAATTTCTTCTAGTCTCCAACCACTCTTTGTACCTTATCTCCTGTCTTGTCCACAACAGACTGAAAAACTGATTCCAAATATTGCGAAATTCTCTACAAGTTGTGAAATGAAATGATTACCAAAATTTTTTCCCAAGACCACTTTAGATTATCAGGATAATTCCGTCTCCTGCTTCAGTACTGACCTATATCCTAGTTTTTCTTTTTTGAGGTAAATATAAACAACTGCTTTAACACATTGAGTTTCATTAAGACTTTAAACCATTTCTCTGCAGCTTCTGATTAACTGAAATTAAAGACATCACTGCTCTAAATGTGGTATGCAACCACAAACTTTTAAAAGCACCTTGCTCTGAAATCCAGAACTGCTCCCTTTACATTGACAGCATTTCACAAAACAGACTTCAGCCTTCATACAGGCTGGAACAGCCAATGGCAACTGAGCTGCCTCCACAGTCCCCAGCAGTCTCAAAAAAACCCCACCAGCCAGGACTATCAGTATAAAATCCACCCTCTTGCTAAATTGCTTTTAAAATTCTAATGGCTCTCTTCTGTCTCAGTGCTTCTTTTCTGGCTGCTGTTGTTGCCCAGCCGTTGCAGTTGTGGGCTCATTAAACTCAGGGACTCAAGGAAGGGCTATTGAGGAAATCTGTTTCTCCACAAAGATGTTTTCTACACTCTAAGTTTGAGACCCTCTAGTCCAGAGTAACTGAACATCAGGAAAGCATTAAAACACTCATTGTTATCACCCACTTTCAGGCAGATCTGGCACCTCACACAATTAAAGCTATTCACAAATCAGTGCTTCCCAATGAGCTGTCTGTTCAGCTAAACATAAACTGGCACATTAGTGTGTAATCACTCAGCATACTTCTCCTCTTATAGCTCTCCCCACATCAATAACAATGCTCTAAAGCAGCAGATTCTTATTCTGAGGTAATAAACTAAGACAAAAATAGTCCTGGTGCTAAGCAGCGCAGAGAAAACAAAAATAATACCTTCTGAATTCAGAAATTTTGGTTCATTAAAATGCATAATCACTCAGAAAATCATTTCTTTTTACCATGTCATACAAGCAGGAAGAAGCTATACTGAAATTAAGTGACTATGTACAAAACAAGGGATGAGAATTATTTCTCTGTCTACAGAGAACTCAAAGAACAGCTTAAAAACCTCCTGCAGTCCAGTATAGGGTGCCATTCCCTTAAAAGTAGCCACTGGGGTATTAAAACCAGAATAAAACTTTATGAGAGGGATGTCTTTCCTCCTTTTTTTACAGCCACATTATTTCTTTGTTCTTACTTAATGGTAATAGTCACATCCATCAGTTTATCTGTTACAATCGTGCCAAGGACATGGTGTCGAACAGCAGTGAGCGTCAGTATACTAGGAGAGGACCTGTAAATCAAAGCAACAGAGAGATGAACTTAAGGTTCCCTCCTAAAGAAAATAATCGGATGTTATTTAGCTGATTTTGTACTCCCACCATAAGCAGAAAGATCTTTATAAAACACATTACATAAACTACACAACAAAGCTGTAGTGCTAATGGGATGGCATATTGCAAAGGTGGCATTTTGCAGACGTGAAACCCCAACTACTGCATGGCATTGGCCAAATTTCTTCCTTCCTTTGTGCTTCCCACCTCCTCTCAAGCTGATGTTGATTTGATTGAATTCATATGTACAATCTCTATACACATCAGAGGAGCATTCACAAGTTAACAATACTGGGAGTGGTTCACAAAGATGCCCCAGATCTAATGGTACTTTGCTGCAGAAAGGTGTTCCTCTTTCAATTCATGTATTCAGTTTGTGCTGGCTGATATTTAGTGGATCCCTCTCTGAAGTACTTTTGATTCAATAACAGAATTCAGTAGCGGGAAAAAATAATATTTTAATGCTGGATTTGTTTCCTGTTCAGGAATTAGAAGCAGTCAGGGAGCAGAAAGCCTCTTTATAGGAGCAAAGCCATTAAGCACATTGCCAAATCACAACCTGGATATAACCTGGACACGACAAAACATGGCTGAGTGGGGAGGATCCGCACTGCCCACTGGTAATTAGGGTGAATATCTATTCAGCCTGCAAAACAGAGGTGAGCAGCATCACCACAGACAGTTGCTGATACCAGGGATGTACAAGTGCTACGTGCTCTCTAGTAAACATAATATACCACTTTTTGCATTTCAACCCTTACAAGCCATCAACATTTTTCACTGAAAAGTCTCTCCTTTGTTATAAAGCAAAAAAGCATTAAAGACGGACAGCAGGCAGACTGAAACATCCATCTGAAGCAGCAAAAGCATCTTTAAAGCCTATCTTTAGTCACATTTTTCTTTTTTAAAGGGCAAGAAAACACGCCTGATACATTTTGCAAAGGCTTTCTTCCATTGGTTAGAGCCAGTCATAACAACTCATCCTGAATTCCTGAAAGAAAGTAGCTGCAGCAGAAGGAAGCTTTATGAAAGCACACTGAGAGGTGTACGATTGAAAGCAATTCTGCTCTTACGTGTCATAAGTGTAATACTCGTGTTCAAACTGGTGGCAGGAACGTGGGGTTACTTCGTACACACCTGTAAGCAGTAAGCCAAAGAATGATCCACTAATACACAAACAAAGAAATAAAGCTTACTGAGTTGCCTGAATTCTGAAGACTACTTATGACCTGAGGTACAGAAAGAATTGCCAAGTTTGACTGCATTAAGTTCATTCGTCTCTTCAGTCACAGATCACTACTGGAAGCTGTGTTGACTTTCTAATGTACACTGATACAAAATGTGGCACCTCAACAAAGAGGCACATAAAAACAGTTACAAATATAACAGACCAAAGTCAGAAGCAATCTATTGTAATTTCACAGCTGATGGCCTTGGAGTTTCAGTGGTGGCTCTTTAATCCATTAGTGAACTGTGAATGAAACCAAAGACTCTAAGGATGAGCTATGCAAAGCTAAAAATAGAACCAAAATCAAATGCATTGGTTAACTGTCCTGTTAATGGGCAGTAACAAGTAATTAGCTCTAAAAAACTCAAAGTGAAAAAATGCAAAACATTAAAACATTACTTTTTCTTGTTATAAATAACCCTGTGGTGCCATTAATAGCTACCCTTCAGGAATCCTGTATTGAAATGAAACTTCTATTGATCAGTTACATTCCAATTACAGAATCAAACAAGATTATTCTAACATGCCAGACCAATGCCATTCATCTACTAAAAAAGAAAAAAAAAGAGAATTTATATGCTGAAACCTCAGAAGCCACAACAGACTGTTGAAATTACCAGTAGCTTCAATTGAATGATTCTTTTTCTTTATTCAAGTAATATTTTATAGCTGTTACCTGGCTTTGAAAGACAGAATCTATTAACTCCTTTAGACAAGTTATAAACACCAACGTTCTCTGGTCCATTTCCATCCTGGTAAAATTCCTGTGAAGCCACAACACAATTACTATTAGCAACTACTGAACAACAAAATGAAAATAGCTTTTGCTTAATGGTACATTAATGCTTCTCTCTTACAGCAAAGAACAGCAGAAGACCATTTCACCAAATCTAAGAGACAAATCTCAGAGCACATTCAGCATTAGAGCTCCTGTGCTACAAGACCACCTACAGGCATGAGAAAGCTTTGATTCCAAGTGCAATCCAACCTACGTACACATGTTAATGAAAAAGCACGAGGACGTTTGTTATAAACATACCAGTGTAATTGCATGAGAAAGGGAACACCTCAGCATATATCCAGTCTGCCTGAATTCTACTCCTGAAACATCTTCTTCCATGATTTCCACCTCCAGAGATTTATTCTTCCAGCACCAGTCTTCATGTATAATGCTTACTGGAATACACATCACAGAAAGTTTTTAGTAATGTCAAATTGAATAAAAACTGTTTCTGTGGTGTAAAAAGCCCCTACCACACTGACTTCCCAGGCAAAAATCTTCAAAGTCAGATAAAAAAATAAATATCAGCACTGAAAAAATGCCTAAACAGACAATACTAAGAAAACCTGATGCACAGCACACAGCAATTTTCCCAACTTTTTCAAGTTTGAGACTAACTCTATGCTGGGTATCACATGCCACATGCCCAAAATATACAGACTAACACAGATTTAGAGAGCAAGGTAAGACTTCCAGCAATTCCCTATGATCCTACCTTTGTATTTGCCAGGTAGCACATTTTCAAACGTGAAGCCTACTGAGTCTGTACTTGCAGAGAGCTGGAGGTTACGTTTCTCACCCTGGCGGCTCACAGACTGTAACACCACCACCAAATCACCACAAGCATCTGCACAGAAAGGACATCAGAACATGAGCACACCCTGCCTTGCCAGCTTTCCTCCAGCACTAAATTTGTGGGTCCACCTCACTCAGCAGAGGACAAAAGTAACATCTGAGAGGACTCAGAGAAAAAGGAAGAGGTAAAAAAGGAGTTAAATTCTAATCATCATCTGCTGCAATCAGTGGGTACTCAAAGACAAGAGAAGAGAGCAACATTTGATTAAAGTAAGGAGAAAACATTAACAGGACAGAGATTGCTAGTTTCTGGTGACACCCCTATCCTCCATTTTACAGGCAATGTATTTTCTCTGCATGCATTTTTCACTTCTGATACATCTGACGCTGTCGGACAAAATGCCACGCATCAGCCAGCAGCACTTCCTGCCAGAAGTTACTGCCTTCTGGGGGAAATAAGTCAGAACTTATTGCTAGCAAGTATTAAAAACAGGTTCACAACTTCATCCCAAACATACTACTTACTAGGCTGTAAGGTCTCTTGAGGAAAGACCTGTTTCCATCTATGTACTAGAAGTCAACTCACTTATCTGTCGATGGGGCTTGACCACAACAAGTGGTTTTAAAGCAAGTGGATTTAAACAGTACTGATTCACACACGTGCAGTGCTGAAGCTCTCCATTTCCATTTCACTTTCAAAACCACCTTACCTAAACAAGAGATCTTCCCCGAAACTGATGCCAAAAACTGAGAGAAGGTCACATCCATGACCGGTCTGTCTGTAACAGTAACAGGGAACACTTTGGGTTTCAAAGCCAATCCTGCTCTGGTCTCAGCCTCCGGAATAATTACCTGTTGAGCATAGGTCATCAGCACATCACCAGCTTTTAAATGCAAAATAAATCCAACTCTGCTGAGTTCAAATGACTTATCAGAAATCAGAAAACGGATATTTAACCAAAAGTTGCAGCAAAACCAGCCTTTCAAAATATGCTTTTCAAAATTCCTCCAAAGAATTGCAGCAAATCTGAGGTGAAAATGGTACAAAAGTTTCAAAAGTCTGGATGAGTTTCTACTCTGAAATCTCTCTTCTCCAGTTTCCACATGGCTATTTTATTTATCTAGGACAGTCAGAGACCTCATAACTGTGCACTTCCTATCTCTCAGCCTGCACAGTCCTCTACAATGCAAGGTTCACTGTGGTTGTGCCATGGCTCTGCAGTGACCAGTAACCTCAGGAGCCATCAGCACACCTGAAAAAGGCACACATCACTTTTCTTTTACAGGAAAATATATGAAGATAAGAAGCTCTCTTAGGGACATTACAGAGGAGGAAAGAAGAAAAACTGAAGAAGAATAGAGGAGGAAGAGAAAACTGCTCAGTCTTAATGGGCTGAAGTCCTTTTCACAAGTATAAAGGGAAAGGTGCATAAGAATTTCTGCTTACTAAAAAAAAAAACAAGCCTGTCATAGTTCAAATAGTGCAAACATTTAAAATGTAGCAAAATCTACAATTAGCTTCTCAAATTTTAGAAATTACGTGATTTAAATCTTCTAAAACCACTTAACAGTCCTGCAGTGAAGAAACAGAAGTTCACTCTTACCTTAACACTGTATGCACCAGATTTTGCTTTAAAACAAAATGCTCCATGAGGGTCTGTTTCTGTTGTAACCGTTGATGCTCTGTCCTTGTCTTGAGGCACCATGGTTACCTTATATTTACTGATCTGTTTGACTGCATCAGGTAAGCGAGTTACTGAGATCTGGCCACACACACTGAACCTTTAAAATAAATGCCAACCATCAGAATACATATCGCAGTCTGACAAAACTCATAGAAAACACTTGTTTGAAAATTTCCTTGATAAGCAAACTTTGTTATCTTGAGGAACTACTTTGTTATGAGGAACTACTACATGAATGGGCGTCAATTCCTCCTGAAAGAGGTTTGGCACAATACTGTATTAGACAGTTACACAACTCTCAAACAAGAGGAAAGTATCTGAAGTGCAGTGCCAGTGACAGCAAACTCTCCTTTTTTTGGTTCATGTACAATTCTACAACTGCTCAATACCCTCATTGTCGTAGAGCCTTTGTCTGCAAAGAATGGATTATAAAAAGGGCAATCTCCAAGGCTTAAGCAGTACTGAGCAAAGCACTGTGGATAAAACATAATTTTGCACTTACGCTGTTCTATTTCTCTTAAGTTTCTTGAGTAACATTTAACTCCTAACAAGTAACAGTACACCAGATCAGGCATGGCATGAGCAAGGACTACCCCCTCTGAAGACACTGTGCATGCAGCAATTTATATTTTCATGACACTGGCACTTACCCTGTTGCAATGATGTCTGCTAGCTGAGGCGTATTTGGTGCAATCTTCACTGTGATTGTATCAAAGAAGAGGTGCTCCTTTCTGGCATGAATTGTGTATGTTCCTGTTGTTATGTTCTCAAGACGGAAAGATCCATCAGCTTTTGTTTTTACTGGAACAAATAAAATGGAGAGTTAAAAAAGCACAGCACGTTTTCAGTGCCTATCTTTGTGTGTCAAAAGCACCAAAGGGCATTCACTGCTTTAGATTACTTTTAATTTAAATTGCACAACAATGAAACAATATTATGTTTCTTAAGAGACAAATCTTCATTTCTGTATTGCAAAGCAACACTTCTAATCTGGCAAATGTTCAAAGGAAATCATAAGAAATTCCCTATTACAGAACAAATGAACAGCTAATACTCTCATCTAAGCCAGAAAATATACAAAATTACTCAACTGTATGAAAATCACTGTAATATTACAAATAAAATATGAAAAAAGTAGAGTATTATCGTGAAGATTTAATTCAGTAGTAGCATATCCTACTCCTGTACTTGAGCTTATTAAAGACTTCTCTGTAGCAACACACACCGAGATCACTGCATACCTTTAATCTGATTGTTTAGTGTCACAGTGGCATCAGCAACTCCTTCTCCTTCAGGACCATTCAACACTCTGCCTGTGACAGAGAAACCCATCACGTGGAAAACAGGCTGAAATGGGAAAGAAAGTTAACATTAATCTTTAGCCAGCAGAAGCATTCACAATTCTGCAGCAATCAACACGCACTTCAACTTCAACATCAACTGCTATTCATCTCACACACATAAGAGAAATTAATTTCCAGATTTAGGGGAAAAAAAAAAAAATCACCAGGACAATCACAATGAAAGTAACTCAAGGCTTACTGTCCCACTAAGAGAAGGAACCAATTCTCAAGTCAACTGTATCAGTACCATTCAGAAGGCTCAAATCATACATCATAATGATATTACTCAAGAAATTCTGCAAACCACACAAATTTCCAAGTCCTTCTTGAAGAGAAGAAAATGTGAATGAGCAAACTTATTCAATTGGAAAGATTATTGCCTGTTTGTAACACAGACAGCAAAGTGAACACAGTAGACAGCTCTTCCCTATTCTGTTTCTTCCTAGTGAAAGGGAACGAGCACAGGAAATAAAGCATAATGCCCGATACTGTTGCCTACCCACTCAGCAAGAGGCTGCACGTAACAAATCTCTTTAAGCTTCTTACAAAGAAGTTTTTCCACAGCTCATCTGCTTTCTGTTAACATCAGTTACACTTTCACAGGAATGAATGGCACAAACCTCTCACTTCTCTTACCTCAATTTGTAAGCTGTCATGTTCTACAAAGAAGTCCAATCTAGATGGCGCAACATCAAAGGTAATTCTTTCTCCTCTGTAGAATGGTATCTGAAAGGAGAACACATCGCTCTGACTCCTAAGAAGCCATGATATCAGAACTCCTTTCCTTCACCATTTTCCACATCCTTATCACTAACAGACACCTCTATGGCCAAATGAGCTGCAAACCTGTTGAAAAATAACTCAGAGTAACAGATACAGAAATAAAGGCAGTATTTCAAGACTGTCTGATGGATACATATAAAACTATGAAAAACCAGAAGAATAACCCTCCATTCAGAAGGTAATTGGTACTTGTGTGAGAGCTCACAGAGAGTTTAATCTAAGAGAATATATGATCACTGGAGAATTAAAGGAAAGAGACAAGCTTGGATCCCTTTTCTGGATCAAACAGGTTGAGATTGCAAGACCATCACTGTAGGCATCAGACATACAACAACGCTCTCATGCTTCCTGGACATAAATGAAGAGAATGGACAAAAAGAAAACAGGGATCTTAAAGGATGTGGGGTAGCCAAAGCCAGCTGATGCTTTTGGCCTTCCATCAGTCCCTAGGGGTGGTTCTGGGAGTGGTCGGTGTATTCAGGTGATTTGTAACCAAGTTCCTTTCCCAGAAATCACACCACAGAGTTCTAACACAGCAATTTACTTCCCTGCCAAATGCTTTAGGTTGGATTCTCCTTTTCCAATTATTTGAACCAGTTAGAAGTATTTCCAACTAATTCTGTTTTAGTAGCTATAAAATTATACATGAGCTAGCTTAGAAAGCAAAAGTTAACAAATCAATGGATAAACAAACATACCACAGTGTATTTTCCACTTGGAAGGGAAAGAAAGCTGAAAGATCCATCTTCTTTTGATACAACGTTACACAAATAGGAGAGAGACTCATCTCGTGATTGGAATCCATCCACAGGAGAAATATTGCAGCCCACAACATCCTGGGACAATGAATGAGAGAACACAGAAAATAATTTGGGGACATGTATGACTCAGAATGGTATTCTGAGAATGAAGGATGGGAAATACAAAAGCCATTTTAAAGACAGTTTGACAGCACAGCTTACAGTTCTTGTCTAGGTAAAAGGAAAAAATCAACCAATAACTAACTTCATGGTAACAAGGACAGAAAACTGGGAAACTCAGCACCCCCCAGAACCCTAGGACTGCACTACATGTCTTAACATTAACTGACTTCAGCTCTGAGGATAAAGTTAACATTACAGAACAGACCTCTACTCTGTATATTAAACCACAATACACCACCAAATGTTCCAGAGTCTTTTCATAAATAACACTTTTAAGGTGGCAACAGAAGCTACTGATCTTTGATTCCACATCACAAGGGCAAAAAGTGATTGAGAACTTATGTTGAAGGAAAATTACAGCATTACAGCCCCTGCACAGTGAAATTCAAAGTTTGTTTGGTAATAATTTCAGTCTTTTTTCAGAAACTGATCTTTCAAATAGTAGATTGTAATCCTCATGAGGGAACATACTTATCAAACAACATTCAATGTGCAAAAAGATGCCAGTGGAAAAATACTGTCTTAGAACTGTAGCCCTTTACCTTGCTGACCCACAGTGAATACACAGAGCTATAACATCCATTATATTTTGCATTTGCTGCCTGCTTCAGCTCAAGTCTTAGTTTTCAATGCCCCTGAACAACCTGAGCGTTGGGAAATTCATTTGAAAACAATAATGGAAAGGGAACAGAAGAGTTGAAGTTAAAATAAACTTTTAATTTCTTGGGTCTGAAAAATGCAAAGACCTCAAGCTTCAAGGTTGCCAACTGTCAAACAGAAAGCTGTTGTGTTACATGTCTGAGTATTCCATTCAAGTCAGGTGAAAAGCGAGCACACACACAGACATTGTATTACAAGGGCCTTGTTACAAAATGAAAACAAATAAATACGAAAACACAGCTGGAAAGGTTGTGCAGTTTGTCTTTTATAAGCCAAGCTCAAGATGAACAGAGGTAAGTGCCAGGGCACTATGAGTACACAAAGCTACTTAGCTTTCCACTTATCTCCATACTTGTACTGAAAAGGTTTCTGAAACACCATTACCTCTTTGGTCACTGAGGAGGAGAAAAGCAGGAACATGACTCCTTTCATTGGTTCTCCATCACTCCTTACTGACCCAGACACGTTGTAGCCAGCAACAACCAGAGGGCTAGCAGCATAAGCATTAGAACTGGTCACCCGTACCACTGTGTTTGACTGAAATACCAAAGCATGTACACTTGCATCAGAACTAGATACCAAATCTTGTTCACAGCATTATATAACAAACAGAAGCTGAGTATTCAATACAGAAATAGAAGAACCAAGAATAGCAGTACTCAAAGAGAATCCACCAGCTATTCAAAACAGAAGGATGCTAAAGCTGTTCTGAGTGCTTTTACTGTTTCACTGATTTAGGAATCGGTCAGGACTTCAGAGCTCAGAAAGCAAACAATCTGAGAGGAAAGGATTGAAGTATCTGCTATGACACCGAATTTCAAACCGAATGTATAGGGTTAGAAAACACAAAGCAGGAGCTCATAGCCAGTCTTCCCCCAGCTGGCTCCTCTAGCTCCAGATGAGGCTTGCACAAAGCAATTTCTTACCAGCCCCTGCTAAATTTAGGAAAACTGCATTAACCTGGTCCACTCACACAAACGTGCTCACAGAGCTGATCAAGACAAAGTCTAGACAACACACTCTCATTAAACATGTCCATCAGAACTTCTTTAGGCTCTAACCTCTTTCAACATCCAGGTGGGATGAGATGCAAAGATTTCATATTCGCCAGGAAGCACTTTGAAGAAAGCAAACCTGTAAAGCAAGAAAAAGGTGATGCTGCTGAAGAGTCATTAACACCTGTTCACAGAAAAGCAATTCATATTCTTCGTGTGTTTCAGAACTTCTATAATCCCAGTCAATATGGCAGAACAGAAAGAATCCTGTGTGAACAAACAGATGAGGCATGCACGCATGCATATTCCCACACTCACTTTCCTCCAGGTTGGGTAATAGTTGCTTGTAAGTTTACATCACTGCCAGCGTTTCTCAGTACAATCTGGACTCCAGCAGGACCTAATGACTGACCTTTGCTGAGAACCTGTCAAAATCAAAACAGTGCACAAGTGGATAAAAATAACTAGCAGAGGTAAATGTTTTTCTGAAGATAGAATTAGCATAAGATGGAATAAATAAACATAAAGGAATCTAACCTTTCCGTTCACAGAAAACCCTGTGAATACAAAGTTAATATCGCCTCCCTTCGTGCAAATGTCATTAATGCCATCTACATGGATGTCTACACTGGTCGGTTCTGGAGGGGAAGAACAATGAAACAGCATGGCAGTTAGTGACAAAGGAACCACAGACACTCTGCTTCAGCTTTACAAAACTCTTCCAGAAATGCACTAGCTCAAGTGCACCAGTTGTGCTCTGGAAGCCAAGTTAACCACCCACAAATTCTGATATTGAAAATCCTTCCCTGCTCATTAAAGACATTTTTATGAAAAATCCACATTATTTCTCATTAGTTCATGTGTTACTTTGTCAGTGTCTGCCTTACAGCTCTATTTTTCTACTGTACAGCCAGTATATTTATTAAAACCAAATAGGGTTTCTGCCTTTTACACAGCATATGATTTTCCCTGCCAACTGCAAGCTAGCAGTAGTTGAAGTCCCACACTGCAAATACAGTGCCCTATTATAAGAAGAGATATGAACACTTACCAAAACTCCATCCCAGAGGAGGCTCAATTTTAAGAATGAAATCCCCCTAAAAATAATTTAAAAAAGCAATAACAGTCTTCACTGACCTGATTCAATTTAACTGAAGAATAAAAAAAAAGTCAGAATCCAAGCACAATGCTGCATAGAGTAATACAAGACTCAAGAACCCCATTCTCCTCTCCTTCTACTATTATGCTGTGTTCAAAAAGCAGCAGAACCTACCCAGACAGTCTGCAATGTTGAGCTTGTATCCCGACAGCTAAGAGCAAGAGTTAAGCAGCATCATGTTTATAATGCATCTACATCAAAGCTAGCTCATGCACAAGCAGTTCAGTGTTAGAAAGTGTTCAGATCTCTCTACCTGCTGCAACAGACGTGCTCTAAAACTGCCTTTAGTGTTTCCACTGGGTGGTTTTACTCATACATTCTGCCCAAACATGAGATAAAAGAATTCCAATCCTACTAAAAGTTCTGTGCTGAAAAGGCATCAATCTACACAGAGATCCTCTTTAAGTCAGCAGACACCACATGGGTTCTGAAGTTCGGCCATTAAAAGGCCCTGACATCTAAGAATGAAACGAACGGGACAAGATGTGTCTCATGTCCTCAGATTTGAAGCAGATTTATTTCCAAACCACAAGCTAACCAATTCTTTACCAGAGCAAAACACTCTGATCACTTGAGGGCAGCTTGTACCTAATTTGAAAGTAAATATTTTTCCAGTCTAAATAAACACCAAAATCTTGCTACACTCTAAGCTTTCGATTTCTTTATTTCAATGCTTAAGTCATATATAATATCAGCAACTAACCATTCAAATTATTTTCAATTCAATCATATAAAAACAGATATAGCAGAGATATTGTTGTTGCTACTGGCAGGTAACTGAAAAGCTTTATCCATACTCACACTGCCAGGACCTACACTTTTCTTTCAGCATTCCTACAGCTACGAGCACCGCACAGCTGAAGCTGCCTGGCTTCCTCACTGTAACACCACTGAAAAATAGAATAACTGTATTACAAACAGAAAACCAAAGGAAGGGAAGTTGGATCCAAGCATAACAAAATTATGTGCTGATCCAAATGCTGTTCTGATGGCAGCAGCTCGCGCCTCTGCTGCAGAGAAGACACTGCAGTATTTTGGTTTCTTACCTTATCATAGAGGGGAATCATAAAATACCCATTGTTTGGAGCACAATCTGTCTGGTATTTGAGAGTACCATGCTTTGTGTACAACTTAATCTGTAGGGAAAAAAAAAAAGAAAAAAAAAAAAAGATATTTTAAGAAACGCAACCAGAAGCAGAACCAGGAATTCTCCAAGCAAGTGCTTTTACACACAGCAGAGGGTGCACATCCCCCAGCGGCAACAGAGCTAACGGGGCAAAGGTTATTAGAGCTAAAGGGGCAGGGCTGCCAGGGGAACCGTGGCACAGAGCTCAGCTCCGGGCTCGGGTGAAATCAGCGAGCGCTTAAACGAGAACCGCCCGGAGCAAGCCGGGTCCCAGCAAGCAGCAGCCGGAGCACGGGGCCCATCCTGCCGTCAGCCCGCCGAACCGCACGGCCGCAACTCGGGAAGAAAGGGGCGGCGGGAGCTGGCGCTGCACCCGGCGCTGCAAGGGGTCCCGCGGTGCGGCGCTGCGAAGGGGCGGCGACGGCGCCCACCTCGATGAGGGAGTAGTTGATCTCCACGTCGGACTTGACGAAGCCGCCGCAGCCCACCACGATGTCCTCGGAGCCCCGCGCCAGGGCGCAGCACAGCGCGCAGCACAGCGCGGCGGCCCAAGCCCGCATGCCGCCGCCACCCACCTGACTCAGCGCCGCGCTGCCGGAAGGGCCGGGCGGCGCGCGGCGGTACCGATGCCGCCCTCTACCGGCTCGGCGGCCCCGCTGCTCGCTGACACCTCCATCCCCATCCCGCAGCCGGGCCGTGACCGGCGGCGGGCGGTTCCCATGCGGCGCCGTGGCGGTGAAGCCCGCGACTCAGAGCGCCGAGCCGGAAAATCCCGGCCGCAGCCCCTCGGGCCCGAGCCGCACCTCCGCCTCCCTCCCCCGCGGCCGGCGCCGTCCCCTTTGCCCTCCTGCAGCGCCCGGCCGGACTTTGCTCGCCCCTCGCTTCTGGCGGCGCGGGGCCGTCCGCCGTGTTCCGCTCGAGGACGCGGCTTTCCCGCCCGCGCTGAGGCACCCCGTGGCGCCGGGGTGGACGGGCACCATGGCGGCGGGCCGGCTGTGCGGCTCCTCGACCGGGCTGTGGGTGAGTGCGAGCCCCGCCGGCGGCCCGGGGCAGCGCCGGCTCCAGCTGAAGCGCAGGCTCGTTTCGCTGAAAGCGACAACGGCTATCCGACTCAACCGCCCAGCCTTCTCTGCCAGAATTGCTGCCGGCCGAGCTTTCCCCACGGGCTGCTCAAGCTTTGGCATCGGACTGATCGTCCCCGGTCAGAGAAGTTGTTAAAGACAGCTGGGGAAATGCAGTTGTGATGCAGTTTATGCTCCAGGATACTTCTCCTTATCTCTATTGCACCGGGTTTCTCTACTGACCATTCCCAAGCGCTAATAATCTTTTTGATTCCAAAATTGTTATTTCTCATTCTACATTCCACTTAAATTTCCTCTTTCTCTCTCTTTCCTCCTTAGTTCTGATAGATGATTCATTTTCTCTGGTGCTTTTCAAACTCTTTTTTCCTCTTTCCATTTCCATTCCCTGCAGAATGCTGCTGCGTTGTCTCCAGCAGCTCTCTGTTGCCAAATGCTCTTCACGTTTGAAAATCCACATCAAGTTTCTTTAACATCATCTCAGTTGAACTATGAGCAATTTGCATTGGCTGGTGAAATTCTGCATACATTAGCATTACTGTTTCACTTCTCTGTTGGTTCTGTGACAGGACTGGAACCAGACGTTGTACACCAACAGCCCAAGATTTACCTGGTGCTTCGAGAACACAGTCCTTGCTTGGATCCCCTGTGCCTACCTGTGGATCTGTTTTCCTTTCTACTACTTGTACCTTCGACGCAAAAACAAAGGCTATATCAGGATGTCCCACATCTTCAAAATCAAAATGGTAAAAGTGGAGGATGGGATTTGATCCTAACACTATTGCGATTTTGATGCACAGTTTAATTTTTATAAATCATTAACTCTTTTCTGATGATCCATCTCTGTGCTTGTATTGACATTTATTCACTCAGGTAAAAGTCACATCAGTACAAATCAAGTAAATCTTCAGGAATAACTATTGTGAGATCTTTTCTCCTGTAGCTCCATGTAGTTTCCTGCTACTTTCCATAATGCTCTGTCTCAAACCTGCTCTGTTACTTCTTCAGTCTTCTAGCCCAGCCTTCTTGGAGCAGCCAGTTCAGTAGGCTGGCCCAGCATCTTTTTACTTCATTCCAATATGTTTTTGCTGTCTCTGCCCCAGGTCCTTGGATTCCTCTTGGTAATACTGTGTTTTTCTAATGTCTTCTTTGTACTGTGGGAAATAAGCCAAGGAATCCCTCGGACTCCAGCATTCTTCATTAGCCCGGCAGTGTTGGGGATCACAACGGTAATTCTTCTTTTGCCCTGTGTGTGGCCCAGCTTAGCCTTCTGGGGGCACTTCTGGTATTTCCCATGTTTTTGAGTGTCTCTGAGCACAAAGATAGCTGATGGGGAATATAACACCGGAGCTTTGCTCTTTGAGTTTCTGCTCTATGAAGCAGTAGGGGACAAGAGTTGAGGCAGCTACATTATATAGCTCTGTGAGATGCGTATACCTCACAAGAGCCAAAGCAGCAATATTTAGAAGGAGCTTTTATAACAGGACAAGATCCAGTTTCCCATAACCACAGTATGTTAGTTAGTATGGTTGGATCTTAATGAGTGAAATGGGATTTCTTTTTGACTAAATGCCTCCCCTTCAGTTACGGCACCTTCACAGCCTAGAGCCTTCCAGCCTGTTTTGGCCCAGTTGTGGTTTTATTACTTGCTCTTTCAGTAGTGACATTCTGCAGCGCAAACTGCTCGTAATACATTCAGTTTTAGCCTTACAATAGTTCAGCTCTAAGTACCTTGAAATGTTTGGGCAAGAAACTGATTTTGCTTTATTGTGTCCATTAACTTGATAGTAATGTTTGGCATTTCACTACCAGCTATTTACCTGGAGGTATTTCTGCTTCCTCACAGATCCTTGCCATGTTCCTCACCCAAGCAGAAAGAATGATGGGCATCCAGTCTTCAGGCATCATGTTGATTTACTGGCTGCTCACATTCTTGTCTGCACTTGTGATGTTTAGTTCCAAAATCCAACATGGCCTGGAAAGAGTAAGTGAAATCATGTATCTTTAACCTAAAAGGGTATGAAGGCTCTGAACAATATGGTTCTTTTTGCCTCATTGATAGTGAGGAGAAGAACTGAATTCCTTTCTTAATGTCTGTGCTAAGAAAAATGATTAATGAGTCTGATCTCTACTCATGTTATCCCTTGCAATACAGAGAGAGCATGGTTTTCTGAGTGTTCATCAGATTTCACATATGAAAAAAAAAAGCAAATTAACGTAAACACCAAATGTAGCCTTATGCTTAGGCTCCAGGCCTCTTCCACAATTAACAATTCACCAATTCTTGCTCTGAAAAAAATATTCAGACTTCTACCTTGTTGGGTGTTTTTGTTTTTGTCTTTCTTGGTCACAAAATCAATTAGTGAGCCCTTTATGGAGCCCCATACATCCTACTTAATAAACCCCAGCAGCTGTTTCATTCTGTCAGTGACTTATCCCACTATGTGAGCACAATCTATGTGAGCACAGTGTCAAAGAACTTCAAGTTCTCTGAACAATTATGCAGTGTAGACGTTAAGTATGTTGTGAAGTGTCATGATAAAGCATTACTGTAAATGATAAATGAATCCATTATTCAGTAGTTTCTGCTGTTCCAGTTCTAGGAATTACCTATTTCAATAGTTACACAACTGTAATTTAAATAAATGTAAGTACAAAAAATAAAACCAAGCATCAAACAAAAACTCAGCCTATGGCTTGCAGAGTATGAAGAAGCCATCTTTCCCCATTGATTTCATTCTCAGCAGTATTCTGTTTCTTAGGGGTTCTTGGAAGACTTTTTCCACCATGTTGCCACTTACCTTTATGCTAGCCTGGTGCTTGGTGAACTGGTGTTATTCTGCTTAGTGGATCACCCTCCTTTCTTCACTAAAGCTGTCAACAGTTCTGTAAGTACAATGTAGCTTTTCATAATGCTTTGCTTCGTTGCTCAAGCAAGTTTAAACTCCTGGGGATACACAGGAACATGATTATCTGAGAGGTGCAAAATACATCATTCTGCATAAAGGCCAATGGTATTAAAAGGTAACCAGCAGAACTGGGGATAACATCTCCATCTTTTGTGTGTTTTGAAAAACTAGTGACCTATCCACACTCTTGCTTCTTTTCATTGAAATCAGCATATAGGGCTTATTTTGCTTCTGCCTGGTCTTCAGTAAACCAGTACATTCCTCAATCTGGTGGTACATGTATGGCAGAACTAAGTGCTTCAGAAAGTGAATATCGTTGGATATGAAGGATGGTATTCTGAGACATTATTTGAAGTCTAATTCTCCAAAGTCCCATAGATCCCTCACAATACATTGCCAGAGGCAAGGAGTGGGGGCTGGGTAGCCTTTTGTTTGTTTTTCTTGGAAAAGTGCAGGAGGGATATCATATGACACGTTCCCTTTTCTCCATATAAATATCATCCATGTTTTTCTTCCCATCAGAATCAATGTCCAGAAGCCAGCAGCTCTTTTCTGTCCAAAATCACATACTGGTGGTTCTCTGGGTAAGAAAACACAGAAGAGACAAGGGTTTGCTATAATATCATGGAAAAAATAAAAAAGAAAAAAAGAAAAAAACAAAACCAGCATAAGAGAGGGTGTAGATGAGAAGCAGTTGAAGCATCTCTGCTCTGCTCCCAGGTTAACTTATGTAGTGAGGTTTTAAATTCCTTCTCTGAGGACTTGAGGTATTCTCTCAAGATCTAATTGTAAAATGTAGCTTATTTTTCACAAAATAGTTTAAAACACAAATTTGTGATTCCAGATAATTCCTCACTGCTAGCTACCTGCCCAGGACCTTTTCATCTTCAAATAGACATCAGCAGTCTCAAGAGATTGCTGTACACCAGCCACAGCCCTGCCTACCAGACCTTCTTGTAACAAATGCTGGGCAGAGAGAAAATACTGAAAGATGATTTTGCCTCAGCCTTCTGCTTAGCAGTCAGAAGTAAAATGATTACATACCTTGGACCTTATGTCAGCAATGGTAATGCCTCCTCTGTTTCACTTAGCCACAGATTAAGTTAAAATGAATTTTGTCCCCCTCTGCCCAAGACCCAGCTGTCACTATCAACTAAACTTAGAATTAGGGCTTACTTGCAAATAATAATTATACTGACAGAAGATAGCATAGGGGTTTGAAGCAAAACAGCTGTTCCTAAATATTCATATGTATTCAGGGAAAGGATATTCCTAAGTAGTATTTACAGAATTCACTGTGTAGCACTGAATTAAGGCCCATCTGTTTTGAAAATATTACATGCGCAACAAATACTTTTGTGCTTACTTATTGGCTGTCTGTGTTTTCCAGGCTTGTCTGGAAAGGCTGTCGGCAGTCTTTGGGGGTGGATGACCTGTGGTCAGTGAGGAAAGAGGACTCCTCTGAAGAAATTGTTGCCTGGGCTGAGAGGGAGTGGAAGAAGTATAACAACAGAACGAAGCAGTGAGTACTTAATCTAGAGTGTGTCATGGATGCAGCTGGCAGTTTCTCTCTCCTTTAGATGCTA